AACAGAGAAAAGAACAGAAGAAATATACCACATTACAATTAGTTGATGTTGTCCAAGTCCATGTTATTAATTTGAGGTGTTGCCATAACAATGGCCAAGCCAAAATGAAAAATTATTCTTCCATCTTTGATTTCTTGACAAGATCACAGAAGAAAGACCAAAAAAAAAATGGTTGACGCCAACAGGCCAAAATGTATTCCACGATGGAGAGGAAAAAAGTGAATTGAATGATGATGAGAGATTCTTTTTTGAACATAACCGTATTTTTTCTTATGCCAACTTGATCACACATGGGAGAGGGTACTTGACAGTGTGTTCATCATTATGGTTTTTTAGGATGAGAATCACAGGTGGTAGGGAATATATCAATTTAATCAATAATTATGTGTGTATGTGCAACACTGAACCTACGGATGTACGACGCGCACTGTTTGAATACAGTTACCTGTGACCTGATACTCATGATAATTTTATTACGTTACAGAACCCCCCAAACAGACTAATGAAGTTAACGAAAGCAGTCTGTTTCAAAATAACAGTAATAAAATATAATATAATAATATAAAATAAAACAATTTAATTAAGCTAATATAATTTGAATATTTTCACTAATCTATAGCAATTAATTTCTAATAATATCAAGACAGTAAATCTGTTTGAAAACNTAATTAAGCTAATATAATTTGAATATTTTCACTAATCTATAGCAATTAATTTCTAATAATATCAAGACAGTAAATCTGTTTGAGAACGATAATGTGTTTAGATGTATTACATTAAATGTTCCTCTAACATCTAAGGAGTTTGGATCTTGTAACACATAGGCATTTTCTNCTAACATCTAAGGAGTTTGGATCTTGTAACACATAGGCATTTTCTTTTTTAATCTCTTTTATTTTGTAAGGACCCTCATATAAAAAAAAGAACTTAGCAATCTTTTTATCCACACTACAACTGAGTTTGTGAGTCTTAAGAAGAACCAGATCATTGACTTTATAACTAATAGCTTTGCCTTTTTGATCATGTCGTAACTTACGACATTTAGCTTGTGACAATTGAAACTCTTGAGCTATTATTAATTTATTATTATAATTTACTTGTGAAGAAGGAGGAAAATCAACAAGGTTTTTAAAAGGATCATAATTTTGATTTTTGATAAATAATTCAAAAGGAGTAAAAGAAAGTGATTCATGTCTTGTGTTATTTAATACCCATTCAATATAACTAACATATTTAGGCCAATCTTGATGATGTTCATANATAACTAACATATTTAGGCCAATCTTGATGATTTTCATAACAATAAGTTCTGAACATACGACCAAGTTCCCTCATCACCCTTTCAGCTGGGTTGCTCTGCGGGTGATAAACAGATGTAAAAGAAATTTTTATACCCTTAGCCTCTAAGGACTTAACCCAAGTATTGCTTATAAATTGTCGGCCATGATCAGACACAATCTTTAAAGGGAGACCATATGAAGGAACATATTCATTTATAATTTTTTGGCAACATGCCTTAGCAGTAGCCCTACAAAGAGGGTACAATTTTACAAATCTAGTGAAATTATCTAGGACTACAAAAATATATGAATATCTAAACTGACCTGTAGGTAAAGGACCATAGATATCCACTAAACATTTCTCTAAAGGAGCAGAACTCAAAACATGTTGCATAGCACCCTCCATGCGAGTAGTACTATGTTTGGTTCTTTGACATATGTCACATGACTGGATTAGAAGCCTAACAGTTTTATGAAATTGAGGAAAATAACAATATTGAGCAATAAGGTTAGCAGTTTTCTTGGTTCCAACATGACCATAAATTGTATGGAAGGAAATGATTACTTTTTGTACAAGATGAGAAGGTAAATATATTAACCAAGGAGTTTTTGATGGGACTCTTGAAAAAAATAAAATATTGTCATGTAGGAGATATCGCTTAATCCATAAAGGTTTATTAAAGTCTTTTACTGCACCTAACTCATTAATAATAACTTTTAACTTTAAATCATTAAATTGTTCTACAGAAACATTCTGTAAAAGATTTACAAGGTCATTAGGAAATTTAGGAGGAATAGATATTTCACAAATGATTGGATTTTCTTCAATATAATTTTGATCCCGTCCAANGATTTTCTTCAATATAATTTTGATCCCGGCCAGCAGGATGGCGAGATAACACATCAATGTGGTTGGTTTTACCAGGACAATGAGTAATACGGAGGTCATATTCTTGTAAAAGAAGAGTCCATCTAGTAAGCCGAGGTGTACGTAGGCGACAAGAATAAAGGAAAACTAAGGCTTGGTGATCTGTATACACATGAATGGGATAACCTAATATCAATACCCGAAATTTTTGACAAGCAAATATGATACTTAAAAGTTCTAACTCGGTGATCGTATAATTTTTTTCTGCTTTTAATAATGTGCGACTAGCAAATGAAATTGTCAACCGTTCACCCGACTCAGACAATTGAAATAATTCGGCTCCTAAACCTACAATAGAAGCATCTGTTTGTATGCAGAATGGCTTATTAAAATCTGGATGTGTCAATAATACTTGCGCGCTAAAAGCGGATTTCACAGCATCAAAAGATGATTTTTCTTTGTCACCAAAAACCCAGGGTGTCTCCTTTTTAAGCATGTTAGACAGAGGTTCTAATAAAGCAGAATGATTACAAGAAAATTTTCTGTAAAAATTACAAAAACCTAGAAAAGACTGAAGGTCTTTTTTATTACGAGGAACAGGAAACTCTTTAATACCTTGGACCTTAGAGGGATTCATGTACATACCACCGGCAGTAAGGATGTGGCCTAAAAACTTAATTTCATTTTTTAGAAAGGAACATTTAGATAATTTTAGAGTCATACCTGATAAAAATATTTTCCTAAATATCCATTCTAAAGTAATAAGATGGTCGTCAAAAGTTTTAGAGGCAATTAAAATATCATCTACATAAATGTGTATATGATCTTTGAAAGGAAAATCATTCAACGGATCAGGGAAAGCATGTAAAGCAGCTTCTAAACCTTTACCAAAAGCAGTATTGGATATATTTAATCCAAATGGAATTACACAAAAATGATAGGAACGTCCTTCATAACTAAATGCAGTATATTTTCGGACAGAAGAATCAAGAGGAATTTGCCAATAAGAAGAAGAGAAGTCAAGACTAGAAAAAATAGACGTGTTATGAAATTTACTAAGTAATTCATCCATAGGAGGAGATGAATCTCTATTTGGAATTATACCCTTATTAATTCTCCGTGCATCAAGGCACAATCTAATAGATCCATCTGGTTTTTGTACACAGATAATAGGACTATTATATCCAGAACTTGATCTTTCAATTACCCCCCATTCCAACATACGGTTTAATTCATGTAACACAGCCGGTCTACGGGAAAATGGTACAGGATATGGTTTTATTTTAAAAGGAATTTCATTAGTAAATTCAAATTTATGAGAATAATATTTATTAATACCAGGACGGTCTTGAAAAACGGCTTTATTACTATCTAACAACTTTTGAAATTTAAACATTTGTTCAGGAGAAAGAGAGACTTGGTTATCTTTTAAGGCATCCCCAGATGATATTTTAGGAGTAACCATATCTACACATACAGGGTCAACATTAATATTAAGGTTATCAAATTGATTAGATAAATTGTTCTCTTCTGACAAAACACAAAAAGGGATTTTAAGACTCCACGAGGGAAAAAATACTTGTTTTTTGTCATATTCAATAGTGGCTTTATGATTAGCTAAACAATCACTACCAAGAATTATGGAGCTGGACAGCCCAGGAACAACAAGGAAAACAGCAAAAGTATTATATTCAAGTATTTTAAAATTAAGTAGAACCTGAACTGAAACATTTCGATTTTTACCTTTTAAAGCAGTAGATAAAACTACACCAGTTAAAGGAAGAACATTAATATCTTTGGAAATAGGATTATTTTTAAGACGTTTAAAAAAATCATTAGAAATAGCAGAAATTGATGCTCCAGTATCAAGTAAGACAGGCAAGTTTTCATTAAACAATTTAATTTGAATATTAGGACGAATAAGATTGGATACCACAGTATTGTCATGGACAGAAGGATGAGACAACATATTAACTTGAGGAACTATTATATTAGGGCTTTGGTCATCAGACCTCAGTTGGACCGCCCGGGTTCGTTTCCCGTCTGATTAGGGTTTTGATTTTGTTGAGCATTAGTATTTTGGCGACTGTTCTGCCGATTATTATGATATTGATTACGATATTGATTATTCGAATTCTGGCCGGATTGATTATTTGAACGTTG